GCATACCCAATCACTGTTACATCAAGGCGACCTTCCAATTGTCCTTTTTATGGTTCCACCAGCCTATTATGGTCAATGCCAAAGAAAGGAAAATAACGACGTGTGACAGGATTGGACATATCGTACTATCGTTGCGCTTGACCGCTCACTCAAGCAGGAAGAAATTATGCATGACTAACGTCGACAATATAACCGCGTGCTTTTAAGATTTCTCTGATGTTCAGTGAAGCTTTTGTTAGGCTTAAAAGTGCCGAAACTTGAATTTCAGGGTGAGAAGCTCGGTAGTAAACATTACGTAGGAAAAAAAAAAAGATTGCGGTAAGAATACGGCGCAGTCACGTACATGCCAATGCCGTCAGCTCTAAGCAAATAATGCACCTTTGATAATGGCCTCCTTTTTTTTTTTTTGATGTCTTTCTTCATCCTTCATTGGTTCTGTTTTCGTATACTACTTTATGTTCGGTCTCTGCACAGAAACCATTAACCGAGACTAAATATAAACACACACACACACACAACCCGCTCATAAATGCACACACACACACACACACACACACACGCGCACGCACGCACGCACACACAAGCGCGCGCGCGCGCGCATACACACAAGTCTAATAACTCTCGTGTTGATGAATAAATATTATTTACAAAGCGAGTTTTTTCTCGGAATACTTTCTCCCTGCTGTTTGTTTCCTTTTGCTGTGTACTCATGTATGTGTCAAATGGCCATGTTTATGCCATGTTGCTGATAATGAATAATAGTTAAGGCCAGAACATCAAAGAAGCAAAATTTTAATAAATGTCTAAACAAGTCATCACATCCACAAATGCTTAAAGCCGTCTTCTGGGAGCCCGCACGCCTGAAAAATGAAAAAAAAAGTGTATTATATGACAACAAAGGAGCATACATCAAATTTAGTTACGCGTAATACATTAACCTCCTCGGTTGGCTTGCTAAAACGATAGTTCTCATGTGAATTCACCATTGAAATACTTTGTTTTGTTTGTTTTTTGTTTAAAGAAACAACTTCCATGAAACAGGCTATGAAAATTACTGCTCTTTTCGTTCTTCCTTCCTTTCGACCTAATTGTGGGACGATGCAAATCAGTTTCATATCGATCAGGCAGGATATAACCGTTTCAAGTGCATCGTACATAAACTTTTGTCGGAGCTGTGGGCCCGAGAATTTGGCTAAAAAGGCTCTGAAAAGATGAGCATTAATGTTTTTACACATATATATGAAAGGGTATAAATATAAGTATAACCTTATTGAAATACTTCAATACCATAGTAGCCCTATTGAGCGAATATTAAGTTACATACTTGGCATTTTAAAGCTTCCCAAGCAATAAAGGGCGCTACAAACGCTATCTATGGCAATCTGGGTCCGATGTGATAAACTTTATGGCACATGGGTTCATTTCCAGTGGAGGCATACAGGTATGGCTACGCAATGCGGGCATCTATGCTGGAATGACAAGGTGCTTTTAACACGTTCATGAAGGCTCCAGGCCTTGAACTATGAGTGCAAAAGCCTTGCTACATGCACGTTACTAACAAGGCTGAAACTGGATTTCAAAATTAGCCTATACGCTCAAAGTGGTGCTATCGTGTACAATGAAGAGCAAAAAACAAAAAAACACAGCACGTTTGGAGGGAGAAAGGGGCTTCTGTGCAATTGACATCCCGACCACAACATCTCTAGGCCTCAAAATACGGCACTGAGTGAGCAATAACACGCTGAAGTTTCTTTTAGTACGCACTGCGAGCTGAGTCGTGATTTCGTGCGTTGCTTATTCCAGGCTCATATTGTCTCCAGCCATGGGCTCACAACGAAACATTCACCTTTACTGTGGGTCTTGAGTGGGGATACATTACCATCGACAGTCCCTGCGGTACTTTTTGCCCTCTCGAAGATGATTGACTTGAAAGCATTTTTGAGCATACTAGGTATAAGAGTGAATACAGCAGGTCTCGCAACAGTTATTATTCTTCTAGATAACGTACAGCTTAACACCACTTCGTGACGGGTTAAGTAGCATGGACACGGCAAAGTATTTGAATAGCCACCGCATTGCTGCGGTAGTGTCAAATAAATAAAATTTCTAGCAGCAACCCCCGCGATGGGGGCAATTTCCTGTGTTTACCATACAATGGTCGCCACCAACGAAACTACGGATCTTCTCATTGACAAGACTATGAACTGTGTTATCTCTCGTAGACTTAAGCCACAGTCAACGTATTTTTACGACAAACAAGACGGCTTTTTCATACAGAAAGGGCAAAGTCATTTCACTGTCTCATCTCACTGTGCAATTCAACATTTCGTAATGAACGAGAGAGATGCACCCGGCACTTTAATCTTGAATGACAAGCCGTACGCGCTGGAATCAATACAATTGTACAATTGTTGGCGTACCCCGCCTTACTACACTTCCGATTTACCCACTAAGGCATCCTAGGCAAGTTGAAGAAAGGCTGGAAGTGTGCTCAGGGATCCACAGACTGTGCTTGTTTGTTTGAGCATTGTTTCAGGTGCAATTGATTCAACAACATGTTCGGGATCGTTTCAGGGTTATAGATTAATGCAAGTGATAGAACCTAATCTGAGACACGGGCACCTATTGAGCTTAACCTCCACAATATCACCACGAAAGCCTCAAACATTGACCCTTCAAAACGTACACGTGTCTTAATGTTTCCATGTGTCCGCTTCATACTCCGTAATCTTATATTACGGAGTGGATAATGTCATTTAGGGCGCTTCTATCTGCAGTGCAGCCATTAGCTACCTGAACTTGCGGGCGCACAAGGGACGATCAAGGAATGTGCCCTGAATGACTGACTACAGTGGCAACACTAGACGCTTTGCACTTTCCTTAAAGTGGCATATAACATGGACGACCAGCCTAACATTTTACTAATCAGTACGACCAGCCTAATCAGTAATTATTTGAATTTGTCATTGAAATTATTTTTATTGTATCAACGGGCTTTCAGCGTAATCTCCTGATTTTCAGCGGGTCGAGCGTAGTCGCTACCTGGCGGCAACTGGCCGAAGGGGTGAAGTGTGGATTGCTGCCTGCGTCGTCTGCTAGCCACGTCGTGTTTGCACGTTCTCAAAGGGTGCTTTGTTCGGAAATGTTAGTACTAGATTAACTGTTGGTACGTATGCCTGAAACAACGTATCAAAGCACTTGGTCTTGCTTGTCTGGTAATGCATGCACTGCAATATAATCAGCGAGTGCAACTTTCCAGAGTGCTGGGTATTGTCGTCGTACTTTCCATTCACCAGAATCATCTTAGTCTCGGACCCGCTTTCAGCTTCAAGCACATCGTAAAATTCGCTTGGCATCGTCCCGCACATGAGGACTATGAAGTAGTTTGTGAATGCAAAGTTTTATCCACTCCGCTGTAAACAAAAACAAGGCTCTAGGCCATTCATTTCCACATTGTTGTTAGGAGCATAACTACAGCACTGTATATAGTGTATTGACTATGCGATCAGCTTTTGTTATGTTTATGTGGCCGTGGTACTACTGCGGAGAGGTAATTCTATCAAGTAAAGCGTGACACTACTGTACTTAAACTCTTCTTCAAACGGAATGGCCGTGTGCCATTTGTTAAGTTAGAGTAAAATTTACGCAGAAATACCCGTGGGCATAGATTTACAAATCTTTTCAAGAACCCCGACGTTGAAAAACAATTCAGACGGTGTGCCTTACATTAAATTTGCACACTTTCACGAAAAATTTCATCTTTCTTTACACTTTTCATCTTTCTTCACATCTTTTGTTTGAAAAAGAAAAAAAAAGAAGCGGATCTGCCCATGGAATAAGCATACCTTTGTTGTATCACTGTCATGCAGGTAATCCTACGATGAAAGCTTTATGCGGAACTCTTACGAGCTTTTGATACTTCTACTGGTGCGAGAATATGCGCGTAGGTGGTAAACGTCAATGTAGTGCAAAGCGCTGTCCACCGCGAAGCTTTTCTCGCTAAACTTATCGACTATCCCACATTTCGTGGGGAACAGAATGAGGCGAAAAATGTGCATGCGTATACGGTGCGAACAACTCGTCGCACCGATATGAGGGATTTTTTTCTCTTTTTTTATCGTATTCAGATGAGCAAGATGTTGATAAGTAGTTCAGTCGTGCAAAAGGAGTGCGTAGTAGGCAGATGATAAGTGAAATACATAAAAGAAACACACCACAAGCGCAATTTAGGTCGAAAGCCTGCATGCAGCCAGCCAGCCAGGACAAGCTTGACCCGCTAGTAATAGTAACGTTGCGAGGGCTTCATGCGTCGACTCGGCAGAGATGAACGGAAATATTACCAGTAAACTGCAGTTAACTTATTTCATTCGCAATCAGTCGGCTCAAACAAGATGCAGTGAAGTGCTGCTGCGTGTATTTGTACACGCGACGCCGACCACCTATCCACACTTCCGCTCGGATGGTGCTGCCATCCGTGGCCTGATCTTGTCGCGAATAGCTGACACTAGAGGCATGACGCAAGAGGCCCTTCGGGGCTTATTAGCACCTACCTGATCTCTCAGGCTTGAAGCTGAGCACCGCTGGCTACGCACCCGGCAACGCTGCACTCATCGGTGACTTGGGGACAGCTACCGAGACTAAAGGCTGGCTTAGAGTCATTGAGTGGGACATGGCCAGTCTAGGCATCACCTCACTGCACTTAGCTAGCCTTGGCAGTCAACCTAACAGTGTCTAGCAAAACTTAGAAAATATTTAACATTGCTTAGCAGAACTTAGTATGACCTCGCAACACTATGAACAAAACATGGCAATACTTATGAAAACCTTAGCAAAACATCGAAAGGCCCTGACAAGCTAGGTGCCGATCTCCTCCGCTGTGTCTGCGCCCTTGGGCCAGCCTTGCAAGCTACACCCAGCTGTTTGGATACGTACTCTCTTAGTTACAACTCGCTTCATATTGATTTATATGACCAAGCTATAACGAGACACTCCGACAACCCTGAAGATTTTCCAATTAGTGTATCTTTATTGCGCCATCAATTCAGTTGGCTCCCTGGTTTATCCGAACGCCAGTCGACTCCTCTTTCACACCTGCAAGTTCAAAGATGCACGCATAGCTGAATTAAATGTCTCGGAAACTTCTTTTTTTTAACAAAAAACGTTCGTAACTAAGAAGGGCGTTCTTTGAACATGGCAATGAGAAAGGTAGAACGAAAAATAAAAATATACTGCGAGAACGACACTTGTACCGCACAGATATTAATAAAAGTTAAAATAGACAGAGAAGGATAATATTACAATCAGTAGTGTAGGAACATATAAAGAAATAAGGAAGACCGGTGAATATGTCTTCAGCACAGTGTTAAGAGCGTGAACATTGTCACCTATGTAAGCAAGTATAGCTGAAATATACATACATACACACACACACACACACACACACACACACACACACATATATATATATATGTAAGGGAAAGAAGTGTAAACCTAAGGGCTCGCTTTTACGTGTCTTGACGCAATAATAATTAAATCTAACAGACAGTACTGCCAAGGCATGTACAGGGGAAGCTATTAGAACCAATGGAATGTAAATAAGAAAGAAAAGTGGGTGAAAAAATGCTCACGGCTGGTTATTTTTTCACCCACTTTTCTTTCTTATTTACATTCCATCGGCTCTAATAACTTCCCCTCTCATTCCTTGGCATTACTGTCTGTTATATCTCATTATTATTGTGTCAAAACACGGAAAAACGAGCCCTTAGGTATACACTTCTTTCCCTTATTCATTAACGAGGGTCTCGTACTGGCAGACTTGGGGTCATTAGGTTGTATACGAGGGACTATTAATCAGCTGCCCGCTCGTAATAAGTTCACGTGCTACGTGACGCCACATATGCGCATAAAAGAGTGCTTCACACTCGTCGCTTGGCTTATAGATGGCGCTGACTGACACTCCTACTTCTAAATTCACATATAAACCAAAAAAAAGTGGATGGAGGGAACACCGCTGTGGTAGCTCAGTGGTTAGAGCATCGAACGCGTTATTCGAACGTCGTAGGTTCCTGCTCACGGCTGGTTATTTTTTTCACCCACTTTTCTTTCTTATTTACATTCAATTGGTTCTAATAACTCCCCTGTACCATCCTTGGCATTACTGTCTGTTAGATCTCATTACATATACATACATACATATAAGGGAAAGAAGTGTATACCTAAGGGCTCGTTTTTCCGTGTTTTAACACAATATTAATGAGATATAACAGACAGTAATGCCAAGGAATGTACAGGGGAAGTTATTAGAACCAATGGAATGTAAATAAGAAGAAAGAAGAAAGAAAAGTGGATGAAAAAATTACCAACTGTGAGCAGGAATCGAACCTACGACCTTCGAATTACGCGTTCGATGCTCTAACCACTATATTGCTCTAAATATTCTCCATTCTTTTTCTCGCGGGGCGAGAAAAAGAATAGAGAATATTTAGAGCAATATGTGCCCCACTACGAAAGGGTGACAGCCCTGAAGTGCTGCTTGAAAATCTTAAATCAGAGGGGGAGACAGAGAAAGAGGAAAAAACAAAAGAAAAAAGAAAAAAGTAGAAAAAAGAAAAAGAAAGAAGGAAAAAAGGTGGATTCCCGAGGGAGCCCCCTTTCACTCTTCCTCGAACTTCTCTTTCCATCTCTCTCCCTTTTCTCCTTCTCACATACCGCAGACATACTAAAGGTAAAAAGGAGAAAAGGGAAAGAGGTGGTGGAGGAAGGGGAAGGAAGAGTGTTTTTTTTTTCCTCTTTCTCTCTCTCCCCCTCTGATTTAAGATTGTATAAAGCTGAGCACCAACAAACTGTACCCTCAATCCTGATGAAGGCCAGACTATAGGTCGAAACGTCAAAATAAACCACGAACCACGTTGTGACCGCTCACGGAGGACTTACTTGACTACTTACAACGCTACGGCCACTCAACCACCATGCCTGCCTATATATATATATATATATATATATATATATATATATATATATATATATATATATATATGTGTGTGTGTGTGTGTGTGTGCACATTGAACATGGTGTGTTGTTCAAACACCAAGCCAAAGCAGAGTTCCACAATTAGCCTTGATGTGATGCTATCGAATATTTTAGCTTGCTCCAGGGTGGTGGTGACTTGATAAGTAGTTTAAAAGTGAAGAAATGTTCTCATTGTGGTTTGCGACTTTACGCGCCAAAACCACAGGAAGAGAACAGCGCTTCGAAATAGGTAGCAGTGCACTTGAAGTTGTAAAGGAGTACGTCTGATTTTGTGACGCCGCAGTTGAAGGCTCCAGTCATTTCGACCATGTGGTATTCTGTAAGGTGCGCTGTATTGTGGCACCATGAAATTTTGACATACGATGCCACCGAAATCGAACCTGCAACCTTGAGGTTAGCACCCGAACACTGCAACCACTTTACCATGGGGGAGAATGCAAAAATATTCTCAGACGCAAGGCATCAGGTACCAAAGTGAATAATGAAACGGATAGGCTAAGCAGTTGGTAAGTTCGCAATGTGGAATTTCTATAATATAGTTGTATGCACTAATGAAGCCTCCCATTAAAGAAGTATGGTATAATTTATTGCAGCTGTTTTATTTTATTTTCCAAGTCATGCAGGAATTCAAAAATTATGACTTCTCGCTATAGAAAAAACATAAAACTGTAATGAATAAATTGCAGCTGTGCCAGAGCACTCAATATGACAGGTAAATTAGGTATAAGGCTTGATCTGTAAACATTGACAATAGGAACAGGGAAAATTATTTGTTTGTCTGCTTTTGCTCTTTTTTTATTGAAGCACGCGGGACAGATGCTCTTTTTTAAAATTTTTGTTGTGATATTACCACTGTACGAGATATTTCATCACGTACAATTCAGCAGGCACCTACTTCTCGTACATGACAAGTTGGTAGAATTGCCCCTAACAATGCTAACCTCTCGAAAGGAAACAAAATGGGCAAATAATCTAGCAGACACCATTCAAAAGTTACCGCGTGGGCCACAGATATATATATATATATATATATATATATATATATATATATATATATATATATATATAACAAAGCTCCGCAGCATGTTGATCATAGACATGACCTGGATACCAACTTACAGCGGCTCGGAGGGCAAGGATACGTGAAGCAGCGAATGCGCAGGCATTTAAAGCCAGGTGGGCAGCGTGCCTGCAAGGTTGCATTGTTACTCGGAGAAACCATTAAGGTTATCTTGAACAAGTTCGTGACACTTGTAAAGCCAAGTTTGACAATTACGCAATATTGTCAGCATTATGCTTACCGTCTCACACGGAATTATCGAAGCCTTTCCCTCAGCACAAACATAGATCGCTGTAAAGATGCAATGAAAATATTCAACAAGTTTAGGAATGTAGCTTTCTACGGGGTTAACATAATGAATAACAGAGCGGTGGTTTCATTTGTACCATTTTAAGCAATACCCTGTCAGCACACCTTATTAACAACTCACTTTAAGTTACAAATTGATTTTATTTCTTAGAAACTGCATGCATTTGGTGAACAATGTTCTGGTTGACCTGAAGCAGCTTCACTTCCTTCATAACTGTTCTATATATACGGCTGGACGTATAGGCCTGCCCATGGGACTCCAGTATCTGCGACAAAACACCGCGCAGCATCATGCAGTGTTGTTGCTCATTTGGTCATTTACTATGTGCTTTGCAGTAGTCGATTGTGTGTCTCTCTCGTTGCCACCGACTGTCTTACACAGTACATTCGCCAGGGGAGAGCTGCAGTAGATTGTCATATTTTTACCGCAGTCGTACATTGAACTTTGTAAGAGTTTCTATGTCGAACCAGCGAGGAATCTTGTCCGCCCGTCTGAAACCAATCCCTTTAACACCACGTGCACTTCTATACATAAATTCAGTGCTGGAAAGACATTTTTTTTTCAGCGATAATGTAAGATATGTGATATCAAAACAGAAAGACTATGTGAAGGCGATGAACTCTCATTCGCTGTTTCCCCGATATCAGTGCTTGTCCTGGCACAACGCGTCTATCTCGGGTGACCACCGCCATCTCGGAGAACATGAGGCAACTAATCACTTGCGCGCCGACTGGCAAAATGCGCAGACCCCAAGCAACGTACAGCTTCTGTGCAAATAATGTTCGATGGTGCAAAGTGCGATGTAAGTCACTCTGGGAAAGTGCTAGGCTGTTCCAAATGTTTTTCAACTCAACATTTCGAAATTGTACATTTTGAACAAAAATCGAGCGATTCAAAATCGTGAGAAAAATAACGGATGGTTGGTATGTGGGGTTTAACGTCCCAAAACAACCATATGATTATGAGAGACGCCGTAGTGGAGGGCTCCGGAAATTTAGACCACCTGGGGTTCTTTACCGTGCACCCAAATCTGAGCACACGGGCCTCCTTCATTTCCGCCTCCATCGGGAATGCAGCCGCCGCAGCCGGGATTCGAACCCGCTACCTGCGGGTCAGCAGCCGAGTACCTTAGCCACTGGACCACCGCGGCGGGGCGAGAAAAAGAATGGAGAATATTTAGAGCAATATGTGCCCCACTACGAAAGGGTGACAGCCCTGAAGTGCTGCTTGAAAATTCTTGGATGTCCTTGCGGATCACGAGATGGTGTATGCGATTAACCGATCGGATAACCGTGTGCTACCGCTGCTGATTCACCCGTCCCTGTCCCGATTGCATGTGAAATAAATCAATGGAACGAGGAAAGCAACTTTCGGTTCTTCACACCTACGAACATGAGCCCAACTTTCCTAATTCGGCAACATGGTTTCTTTGTTGTATTTTCCGGATTTCAAGGTGTTTATAACCAACTTTTTTTTATTTGGCCGGTTACCACATGCCGAATTTCTTCACTCAGGTGATGACATATCAAGCAAACGAGCTGTATGACGCATTTTTCGCCGTACGATATTCTTTCATGGCACGACAGTTTTACTATTTGCAGAGGTGGAGGGGAGGCGTCTGTCACCAAAGATAACTACGCAATGACCGATGCTCAATTCTGTGACAGATAACTCTGCGTTGCATTTCTGACTACCTTAACCATTTTATCAAACTGAAAATAGTTCCAATGCAAGCTTGTTACTATGAATCTATGTCGAAGAAAAAAATGGCATGTTAGACGATTAAAAATCCTATCGAAATAGGCTTTGTAGTCGTTTTTGTTGTGACCACATGCGAACACCAAAATTTGATTTTACGTTACTGTTATTCTCCAAGATGTACTGATAGTACTTAGCAGCCACACCCTCTACGGTAGCCATTAGTCTGGTTCAGTAGTCAAGCTCACTGACTTTTTTTTCTTAATTAAATACAGGCAAATAGATGTCACCGCCAAATGACACGTTTTCGCAAGGGGTGTGACAATACAACCGTCATGAAAATGAAGAAAAGTGGTCGCCCAATACAGAACACTTTCCCATAGCAGTGGAACTTCAAAGCGAGAACCTATCAGGCAGTTAGGCACAACTCCGAGCTGTGAAATGAACTGCACATAAACTGGAGTGGCTTATATTGTATAAGGTGGTAACGCAGCACGAAGGACTTACCAGCGCCCCGCTGCGGTGGTCTAGTGGCTAAGGTACTCGGCAGCTGACCCGCAGGGCGCGGGTTCGAATCCCGGCTGCGGCGGCTGCATTTCCGATGGAGGCGGAAATGTTGTAGGCCCGTGTGCTCAGATTTGGGTGCACGTTAAAGAACCCCAGGTGGTCTAAATTTCCGGAGCCCTCCACTACGGCGTCTCTCATAATCATATAGTGGTTTTGGGACGGTAAACCCCACATGTCAATCAATCAGGACTTACCAGCGGTTAATAACACCAGGACGAAAGCGAGGTACCGCATCTTGTTCGGGGCCTCTTGCGCAGAGTGTACCGTGCGTGCCGACAAGAAAAGCAGGGCTTATATACGTGTGATTCTACGCCCACTACAGCGCTCGACAACTTTTTTCTTCTTTTTTTTTTCGTAGCACACCAGGCGAATATTTCGTGCTAATTTCGTAGAAGCTTGCCGACGAGCTTCTGCAATACGGCACCACGTGCCGGGCAAGCGCTTACGAACAGTACGTAACAAGGGAACTGAGTAGCTTGCATTTCACTGCGAAAAAGCAACGAAGATAAACTACCGGAAATCCTTTTATCTGAACCGTCTACCTGGAGTGTCATGTAATGCCCCGAAAAGATTAACAAGTAGAAAGATATATTGCAGCAGCCGCTTCGCTGAGCGTGTTGCTCGTTTTGAAAGCGCATACATACGGCACGACCAGCATGACTAACGAGTGATTTCACGCCTGATTGCCAACGGAGAATAAACCTCCGTTGCTTAGCGAAGTTTTCCCGTAGTACAAGGAATGTAGAAACGTTGCTGAAATTCTAATTAGTCGTTAAAGTGAAAATGCTGTTGGTAATTACGAGCAAATTCAAATAGAAAAATTTGTTTTTATATGAATTCTTGTCAACAGAACGAATAAAAAGCTCAACAGCGTCAAAACTGAACGCTTAGAAAGAATGTATGAACGTTCACGGTGTACATCTGTAGAGAACCTTACGAAAACGTGAATTTCAGTCACAGTGGTGGCTTGAAGGTGAACGCCTAGCGCCTAATCCACTGAGCCTGAATGCTTACTTGCTTAGCACGAGGGCGCGAGCCTGATTTTCGGCCACATGCACATGAGTTAGAAATTCAAGAAACGCCTGTGAAATCAGATTTAGATGCACGTTAGTGCATGAACACCTGAATGTCATAAATACAACGCTCTCTTCTCCACTTCAGCGCGAATTATAACCACGTTATAGTTTTGGTCCATAAAACTTCTTAAAAAGGTTACGCTTCGTTTTTCAATAATCGATGCTTCTCCCCATCAAGGTCGCCAGCCATAAGGTAAATACTACACTTGTAGGGTATCTGCGGTATTTTTTGGCCAGCATAGGGTAGTAGGGCGGTAACGCGAGTTTTTTGTCAGACGTAGGGTACGTTTCACGTTGTATTTGTCATCGAGCATCGAAAAATGCAGAGATATTTTAGCCGTGCATCAACACAAACACAGAATAAGGACACACTCAAAGACAAGGACAGGCTGCTCTGTTTTTGTCTGCTCAGTCCAGTCCTATCTCAATGTTCTTTACACTGTGTTTGTGTTATTTCGAGGCTAAAATATGTCACACAGCAATCAACAACTACGCCAACAAACAGTTTTCACACAAAAATGCTGACTATCCACGCGACATAACGGAAGGTTGCATTCCTAAAGAGATCTGAAAGCTACATCTATTTTTCTTTAATAAAACTGGAATCTTCATTCGCGTGTCACCAGCATAGCACAGAGGTGAAAGATAGCATGTCACACATCCCTGTACTATCATTGTCGTTTTTATCATCGATGTTTTTTCACTGTCTGTCACCTCCCTTAGTTCGTTGCGTGGAGGGGCTTTTGAGTGGCGCGATGTCAGTCGGTGCCAGCTTGTAAGAGCGAATCCTTCGATGCTTTATCAAACCCGAAGAATGACCATTGGCGTTAACGCGAATAATACAAAACATCACAGTCTAAAGATTTCATTGGGACGTCATGATTGTCTGAAATTCGTGACGTCATCTTGAAGTCAGAGTACGTCACTGTAACTTTGCAGTTACGTCACAGAGTGACGTAACATACGTGCAGCTGCATATCTCGATATTGAATCAAAACATGCTAAGTCGTTTCCTTGTGCCTTCTCCACGCATATGCATTTGTCTTCATTACATTATTCTCGATTTATAACGGCGACAGCCTGACACCACTTCAAACAGCAAAGCACGTCCCCTTGAAACATTGTAAAGGGAAATCTTGCCCGTTCAATATACCCTTTCAGTAGTAACTCAGAGCTGCTTGTCTTGCCGCATGCTGCTTTCCCGTATCCTTTTCGAATCTACGACGCTTCACTTTACGTTCTCTTTCACTATGTCGCCTACACTGCCAGCCGTGTTGTTGCTAATGAGCCTCCTAATTGTTTTTCTCAACAGTTAATCGGCGCTCTTGTCATACACTCACAGGAGCGCTTTCACTTCCCATCGGCTGCACGTCACGTTTTCTGTCCTCGAAAGTAAGTTTTAAGCCGCTGAAGTTCCTATACCAATTTTAACGTCACCACACACCAGCATGCCGCAAAATGAAGTATAGTATGTACTTTATATTGTTACACATGCGCTATTTTCGGGCGTAAAGTAAAATGTAGTGCAATAAATGAAGTCGTGTAGGGTGAAGTAGTTTAGTTATGAAAGTGGCGTAGGGTACTCTCCTAAATTGGTTGGCAACACTTTGTCCTATTCACTCTCCTGTTTGGTCACATGACGTCAGCTATCACGAACCTGATAATCGCAGAAGTGTAAAATCTGCACGTGCTCGTTTAGTGACAGAGTGTAGAGTTACAGAGCCTGCTTCATTTATGATCATCGAACTTCAAGAGAGCAGGCTCTTATTATATAATTAGAAAAGATTATAGCGACAGCCATACTTTAGAAAGAAGCGGCGGAGGAAGAAGAAATGACCATTGTAGACGAAGCACCAAGAACTTCAGCTAACGATGCCCTGATGTACTTGGAAAAAGAGAGTTCCTTCGCGGCCCAGCAGAGTGTTGGACTAGAGAAGCTTTGTTACAGTTTGGACAGAGTAACTCAATTCATGACCACTGCTTTCGTAAGTACACAATTGCAGCAAAAAGAAAAAAGATTATTCTTCTTCAGAACATGCTAAACAAGCCTAAATGCACATTCAAATAAGCAGCACTACAAATGAAATTATGTCAAATTTGACTTTGACAACTGGTCATTTCAGTTCGGCGAACTTTCACCTTAATAAATTTTTCACTGAGGTTCCTTGAAGTTTGTTAAAGTGATCTTTTACTGTGCTTTGAACATCTCGCGTTAAACGTTAGTTCTGTAGAGCTTACGTTACCTGTCTCTTTCTCATGGGTGTGAATTCTTTGCTAAATAGCTCATAGTTATAAATTATGAAGTTTTGAAAACCAACCCTATGCAATATTACTACGACCTCATCAACACTCCCAGGGTCCGCTTCAGAAGGTACTTCAGATGGCGTCATTCTTTACGTAGAGCAACCAGCTTTAAACCGTATCGTTATCAAAAGCAGAACGTTTTTTTTTCATCTGTCTTCCTGATAACCATTGTTGAGGTCTTACTCTTACATCCAAAAACCACGTTCAAGATGCGAAAATTGTACCTGAATGAGACAGGCATGAAGAGCACTGAGAAGTTATTTATTTGCCTACATTCCAGCACAGTTGTTTTTACTGGCTGGCACTGCATTTCTTCCAAAGTAACAACTTCGCTTCTGGCGCCGAAATGAGTGTCAAATGCTAGAGCTGTGATGTCCGTTGCCTCCTGTGGTCGTCAAAGAAAAGGGTTACTTACACACTAATACTACAAATACTTAGAAAACAACGGACAAGGTGGCACAAGCAGATGGCTTCTTTCCCTCCTACTGACTTTCATTTTTTTTCTCACCCCTCTCTCGACTATACTCTACACCACTATTCCATGATTTACCCTGTCCCTTCTCCTTTCTTTCCCTTACTTCACATCGCTCAAAAGTAGGTGCCTATCTAGGGCGCGTGTACATGATGGAGCCTCAAGTTGCACGTCCGTTTTGCAGCAAAATGGAATTCAGCGCAAGTTCAGTATTCCCATTTATACCCTTGGCCTTTCAGGAACATCTCAAACAAGCTTAGGGCGTTGACAATGGGCCATTCTTTCAGGCCTTTTAGGCTCGACTTTTCAAAAAAATGGCAGCATATCCACGGAGTGAATGATGAGGAGTGGGGCGAAGCATTCGTCCGTCCATTCGTTCTTGCTTCCGTCCGTTCCTGCGTACGTCTGTGTAACCGTCCATGCGTCCATCCACCCGTCCGTGCGTGCGTCTGTTCGTGCGTCTGTCCCTGCGTTCATCCATGCATCCGCACCAGCGCCCGTTCATGCGTCCATCCATGCATCTGTCTGTGCGTCCGTTCGTCCATCTATTCAGCACTCCAAGAACCACCATCTCGCATCTATTCATCATATATTCTCCATATAGAAGCACCGCCATCCAGCGGACATTTCAAGGACTAAACGGGAGGTGGCACATACACACTTTCTTACGGCTTGCGCTTCGGGTTTACTTCCCACCTTTGACCACCTCGAGTTCATGGTATATACTAGTTCACTGTATTCATGGCTATGCGGCCCAACGCTCGCTAAACCTTTCTAAAACCAAGGAGGTTACACCCAGCGAGTATAACGTATAGCAACCCTTTCTTGTCAGATCGTGCTCAATGTACATGCCAATAGCTGCTAATGGGGATCGCAGCGTGCGCGTTACCTAAAGGCCGAATGCTCCTGTCTATCATTCCTTTTAGCAGCCATTAACATGTGCATTGAGCACTATCTTTTATTGTTCGACAACGCACAGAAGAAATCTCTCACCGGAACCACCTTGGAGGTCAAAATCGTAAGGACCGCTATTTCGGGTATGTGCCACTGGTGGTTACGTACTACGAGGGACGCACAAGCCACGCCATAAGGAGCTTCGCCCCTAATAAGCTAAGTGGTTCATGATGAGCCATTCTTTTATCTGAAACAAATGTGGAACCTACATGAATAAACAAGCCCCGCCGCGGTGGTCTAGTGGCTAAGGTACTCGGCTGCTGACCCGCAGGTCGCGGGTTCGAATCCCTTCTGTGGTGGCTGAATTTCCGATGGAGGCGGAAATGTTGTAGGCCCGTGTGCTCAGATTTGGGTGCACGTTAAAGAACCCTAGGTGGTCGAAATTTCCGGGACCCTCCACTATGGCGTCTCTCATAATCATATGGTGGCTTTGGGACGTTAAACCTCACATGCCAATCAATCAATCACATGAATAAACAAGGCCACAAGTGCGTCTGAGGTCACGAGCACGAAGACCACCCTCGACGACAACTAACCTTGACCTCGGAGTGAAGGCTATAGGCGGCCGCTTCCACACGATAATATTGCCCCGCAAGTGAGCACGGCAGCTTGCGGCTGACATTTAGATAGCTGAGTGCACATTTTGGTGCCATATTATGGGTATCATTTTCTTGGGGAACTGAAATGTGCATTTGCGGCCACACACTGACCCACTGCATCATGGCCGCCAAGTTTGTTTTTTGACAAAACTTTTCTTTATTTTTTATTGTATGATTACCTCAAATTGCCCGAAGGCGCTATAGCAGGGGAATTACAGGTGCGAAATGAAAAATTCTTCATATTAACAGCACACCTGCTTTTCACAGAGCCGGTTCCATTGAGCAATAGTTCTGGCAAAGAAAGAGTTTGCAAACAAATTCGTCCTCGCAAGGTACTTATGTATTTTAACGTATATTAAAAGGATGGTAAATACCCTTAGAAACGTAATGCGGTTGTTTGAGATAGTTCTTGCTTATAATTCCAGTCTTGTTATTTAAAAAAAAAATCGCCTCAACTTTTCCTTTCGAGAAGAAATCGGTTCTCAGTTCAATTCGCGTTTCAGTTTCGTAAAACTTTCGTTCCACCCATACAGTCTCAGAAAGAACCTAGCAGCACGGTTTTGTTTCTTTTTCTGGTTTATCGATTGAATTCTTTTGAGCAGGGCCCCATACAGCACAGGCCTATTGCAAGATCGATCTAATACATGATAAATAGGCTGTTTTTTTTTTTTAGACTTGGTTTCGAACACTTCGAATTCTTTTGAATCAAACAGAGCGTGCTACCAGCTTTAACCATGACGTCCTCCACATGAGCAGACCATGAAGATGATAATGTGACACCCAAGTACTTAAATGTAGGTGCATTTTTGTCAGGGTATGGTTTCTCTAGTAATCATTTGGAATGATTTTCCCTTTATTTTGCGCAAAAAAAATGTGCGCATACCTCTTTGGGTTCAAGTTCATCTTCCACGTGGAACACTACGTATTAATACATTGTACGTCCAGTTGTAACATGGCAGGATCTTCGTCACACTTTATTTTCTCATTAACAACACAATAATCGGCAAACAACCGTATTGAAGAAGTACTGCCCACAGTAATGATATTAATATAAAGCAAAAACAAAGGTGGCACTAAGACAGTGCTCGAGGACTATAGATGTGACTTCAGCGTACGGCGAGCTCTTGCCGTTCAAAACAGTACATTAATGACGATGAGACGAATAGTTTTCAATCCATGCAAGTACACTTCTATTAATATTTAACATTTAAAGCTGGTGTCCTGAAAAAACGCTGCTGTCTCAGAAACGGAAACAAAAAAAAACATTCCTGCAAAGTGCACAATAACTGCCCATGGCTTCCCGCATTTTTTTAGAACACACAACAACACCAAGGAAAGCATAGGGGATGTTATCAGAAGTGAATGTATTATAAATTAGAAGAATGTGAAGTAAACGAAAAGATAATTTGCCACCGGCAGGGACCGGCCATGCGACCTGATCTTCGAATGACGCGTCCGATGCCCTACCACAGAGCTATGGGGGCGGTCAACCCCGTCCATTTTAAGCAGTATTATACCCGCTAGCCTTCTTCGCCCGCTTGCATTCCCTTGGAACCGAGTATGTGATCCAAAAGGACCAGTGGTTATCTTGCCTTTGCGCTACGTGCCCTACCCATGACCATTTCCTTTTCTTGATTTTTACTATGATGCACCAAACACCCGTTTGTTCCCTGATACACTGTGATCTCTTGTTGTCCCTTAGGATTATATTTATCATTGTCATTTCTATTGCTCGCAGCGTCTTTCTCCTAGTTAATTCAATCTTGTGGTTTGGCTTCGTGGTAACTGCCTGTTCTAAGTGGGCGTACTCCTTTAGAACTTCAGGTGCACAGCTACCTATCTCGAAGCGCTGTTCTCTTCCGAGGTTGTCGGACATAACTTTCGTGTCCTGAAGATTAATTTTAAGACCTACCTTTCTGCTCTGGTTCTCTAATTCAGTGATCATGAATTGCAATTCGTCCCCTGAGTTACTGAGTAATGCAATGTGATCGGCGAAGTGCAGGTTACTAAGGTATTTTTCATTAACTCGTATCCCTAACTATTCTCATTCTAGACCTCTGAAAACCTCCTGTAAGCACGCGGTAAATGGCATTCGGGAGATCGTCTTCACTTGCTCACACTCTTCTTGATTGTTATTCTGTCACTTCATTTAGTTGATCCGCTGTAAATTTTATGGAGTATACAAGTGCATTTAAACGTAGCAGTGTTAGACAGTGCCACCTGTTGCCATAACGGCGAGTGTGAAACACACTTTTTTTGCCTGTTTGGCGTCACACAGGGCGTGATCTTATTACGAGATGGCAGGTGACGAACGATCCCTCGCAAACCACATCAAGGAATCCAGTTTATCAGAACAAGACCCTCGCAATAAATGAAGGAAAGTGTGAATTTAAAGGTCCATTTCCTTTGTTAGGCACCATAATAATTACAGTGAAGACAATATTGCCAAGGAAAGCATATATAGAACGTTACGAGAAGCAATTGTAATGTAAATGTGAATAAAAAAAATGCACAAAGAGAAAACATGCCTTATATTTACACTTTCCCGCAATTGTTTCAGTATCACTGCAAATAAAATGACATTTATTCCAGAAAGGCAAATAAGAAAATTATCACCAAACTTAAGTACTATTTTTGGTGTGGCAGAAGGCGTGCCATTCGGTTCTGTAGTATCGACAGGGCTGTCAAGAAAAGTTGTCGACGAGTATAGGAAATTTCTGTGTACTATACATACCTTCAAAAGAATGGAGACCTGGCAATCGCAGCGCCACACTTCCCACGATCAAATATTGTAGGAAAGCTCTAGGCTAGAGAGAACAGGATGCAAGACATTGCTAATTTTCATGACGAATTTTATTGCTCCTGCATTGTGTCGCTGTGAACTGAAAGTACCTTGATGCCTGTCAACGGAAACTTGCAGTAAGGAAAGCCTGAAAATAGAAAAAAAAGGTGTTAGTTTCTGCACACGTGACCTTGTAAATCATATCGATCAGAATCTAAGAGTGAGGATATCAGCGGCACGATGCACCAGAGTTGCATATGAGTGGACTTCAAAAGGCGCCAGAAATCAAGCCAATTGCAGCTGAAGTAGCCCCGTCAATTAATATTATCGCCCAATTTGTATCCAAGAAGAGAAACGCTATTATGAAGAGAGTCATTGCTATTTATGAACAAATAAAGCCATTTTGAATATGCGAAACCAGTAGTTTAAAGGCAGCCAGAAAATAGCCATGGCTCCAACTTGAATTTTTCACTGCAAAACGGGTCGAAAAGTACCCAACTTTGCGTAGAATAACGGCCAACGCCAACCCTGCTTGGCGTGCAGTAGTAGGATTCAAATTCGATGTCGAGAAAAAACAGTTGCGCAAGTCGCCCGGAGCGATAATGTGTGTATTTTTTAATTGAAGAAAAGATCCTGATTGGGTTAGATGGTATTCTAATATTATACTGCTCGGCGCAAAAAAAATAGACAAGCACACATAAAAAGGACGAGGAATATATCAATAAGACAAACGTTGACCATATGGGAGGCGTTTGCAAACCGCGTAAGAAATTATTATATGCGTGCGTTTTTTGCAACAGTAGTTTCTTTGAATTATGTTCATTTTTTTTCATTCCAAGTAATACTCGTGCCATTCTGGATATTCAAGTGATTTTTCCTTCATTTTCGGTCACATACTTGTTTACGTGGTTGTTGAGCGCTGATAGTTATCCATGTTTGATGCATGACCACCCCAACGTAGACATGGCCACCCCATGATGTATGAAAAAATAAGCGTCATGTAATATTCACAATTATTTCCTTCGTCGTTATAATACGATTGATCTCTTACACTTCTTTTTGGTTAAATTGGTTGCGTTAAGGAGAGTCAGAATTCTCACCGCACTGCTTCTTTTACAGACACTCTTCAGTATGTTCGAGCTAGAAGGCACGTTTGATGAATAAAAATAAATTGTCGAGATTAAATGTGAGAAGTACTTTACACTATATATGAGCTGTAACCGCTATGGGTATTAGCGTAACCTTTTTTTTTTTCTTCAAAGTGCTATGACTGATAAAGAGCTAACGTGGTGAGGAAATGCACAGGACACATATGCACAACATATGCATACCGGAAGACATACGCTCACCAGTATACGTTTAGTTGAGAAGAAAAGTATTGTAAGAATGTTTGCAATTTTCAAAAGTTGCTTACTGGAGGTACGATTGTCGTCATGCAGAGAAAATAACTGTCGCAAACTATGAGTACAGTGCAGAAGGCAGAAGATGAATACGTTTACTTACTTCGGCTGTTGTGGCTGTCGTATCCTGATCAACGCTGGCGACCCTAGAGACAAGCCTTAACCCGATACCTGACCAAGGCCCTCTGCAGCCGGTACCAGAGCTCTGGCGTCAAAAGCTATGGGTGGAACCTCTATTCCGTAATATGAACCCCGACCTCCATCCTGGCCGTAGACTAGCACGCGCCGCGGCCCTTCATACGCGACACTCCGATCGTCCTGGTGTTTTCTACGTGGACGTCTCGGGTCCCTCCCCCTCGGGTCACTTCACGGCTGCCGTGATTACAGAGGGCAAACACGTAGATGGCCTCTCCTTTCGAGCAGACACAGTAACGCACGCTGAAGAGGTTGCCATAGCTTTGGCCGCCTCTCACCCTGCCTCACGCACCATCCTGACGGACTCGCGCTCGGCCTGTTCTCAGTACCTTCAGGGTTCCATTGCCCCGCTGGCGGCTAGCCTACTACAGGCAGCCTCTTGGCGCTTTAACCCTCATCCCATTCGTATAGTCTGGACCCCAGGCCACTCGGACCTGCCCGGCAACGAGGCGGCAAATGCCGCTGCCCGCGCTTCTCCTGTCCGGGCCGTTGCCCCTCCATGTCCCGAGACGGAATCTGGCAATACCAACCTGACGCGCTTTCGCGAAATTTTGGCTTATTACCGGGCTTCGCGCCGCCTCTACCCGGACCCCGCACGCGGTTTAGAGAAAGCGGACGAACGACTGCTACGCCGCCTGCAGACTAGCACCTTTATCAGTCCGGCAGTCGCCAGGCACTTTTTGCCGGAAATCAATGGCACCTGCTCGACCTGTCATGTCCTCGCCGACACATATCACGTCGTAGCATCGTGCCCAGTTAATCTCATCCCCTTTTCCTATCCCAACTGGAGAGGCTTGGGAGGAGCACCTGCTCGGCTGCTCTACCTTGGCTGTGCAACGCTCCTTGGTGGAGCGCGCACGGGCAGCTTCCAGCTCCACTGGCGTCCCGGAATAGGGTCTTGCCACTCTAGCACGCCGATGGGCCACGTCGGCACTCTCTAGTAGACTTTTTCTGAAGTAAATGTTTTTTACCACCACCACCACCTAGAGACAATAAAGGCGATCAAAAATTAGATGCTGACAAGAGAAAGTAATACACCAAATGAGGTTGTTTGTAAGGTTCACTCTTCTTTAAGGGGCCCTGAAACACTTTTTTGAGTAACTATGGAATTAATTCACTGTAAAAGCGTACTACCTCACGAATTGAAGGCCTCGAAAATTCTAAGACTCCATCCAGGACGAGCGGAGTTAGAAAAATTTGTCACACGCTGCAATCACATTCTCTCTTCTCTCGTCCCGATGAAAGCGCTGGAAGCTGAGCAGGAAGGGATGAGAGGGACAAACAAAAAACGGCACTCGCGCCTAGTGACCAGCGTGCGTGCGTCAACGCTGCATTGAAGTATATTGGGCCATTCATGATATGCTCGCGGCCGTTTCACTAGCTCCACACACACCAAATTTTGTGTTACGTGACGTCAATGAATGACGAAACATATGACTGGTGCAAACATGATAATCCTGACACACTTGTCATGTAAGAGCATGACAACTTGCCATGCTCATAGTGTGCTCGCGGTCGTTTCGCTAGCTCCACATATACTAAATTTGGTATCACGTGACATGAATAGATGACGAAAGTAAACACCACATAAAAACACGACAATCATGACACATCAGTTATGTACGGCATCATTTACCTCCACCACGTAACGTTGTGCTGATTTAAAGCGACATATCAACATTTCTCATTCATGCTTCGCATATCAGTGATTCGCACTGTACGTGGGATCTGCCAATTTTTTTTTTTGCTTCATTTATGGACTTGGCAGTGAGCTGTTGAATCACCGCTGTGTGAAGGTAAGTGTCTACCTACATCAAAGTGTGCCTGTAGTTCCCGACTCTGACCCGAGAGACAAAAAATGAATTGTAGTTATTTATGACTGATTTCATGTTCTTGGATCAAATCAACTGTTTGTGCTTAAGTCGAATGGTGGGACAGACTTGATACAATAAAGATCAACTTGAGGAGTCTCTGCTAGTTTTGATTTCGCTTATTTGTTTTATGCGCACATTGATGCACCGAGTGTCAAGTGACTGTGTTATTGGTGAAAATAGGAGAACTAAGTGTTTAAACTGATACGGCTAGCCAACAAATATATACTCACATTGCATTATCCTCGTAGGCCTCCACCGGGATAGTGGCCCCCACCACCTGGATAGCGACCTCCACCGCCTGGATAGCCACCTAGTCCACCTGGGTAGCGACCGCCTCCTTGCAGGGGATAGCGACCTCCGCCTCCCGGATAGCGACCTCCACCTGGATAGCCACCGCCCCCTTGCAGGGGATAGCGACCTCCGCCTCCACGAATTGGGTAACGTCCCCCACCGCCTCCATGTCGTGTGCAGTACGCCAAGCACACTGTAAGAAATCCAGACACGCACCTCGTGAAGACTTTGTAGTGCTACAAAACAGGCTCTGGATTCAAAACTACAGTTTCCCGCTTCTGTGAAGCAAAGAGTGGTCTCACACTATAAAAGAGTGATCGCTCAACACATGCACCTTGACACTACCATAGTCCTAGGAACGTTCAGGTCTGGTTCAAAACGAGCCTGCGTTCCCGAGAGCTAAGCTTCGATCTCTGGTTGTTGACCTGACTTGGACTTATTCAGTATCGGTGTCCCTCTGTTTTTTTGTTCTTCTTGGATTTACGAGAACTCGCATTACTTTACTCTTCATGATTCCTTCAAAGTCTAGCATTTTCAATGGGTTCCCTCCCTCTTTACATCATCTATGGGCTATTTATTATTACTGACGAAACTTCCGCTTTGCAACTCAAAAGCATTATTTCTCAGATAGTCGAGTAAGCTGCCATTACGCGGACATAAAGTGGTATGGTATTTTATATTTTAGTGGCTATCTGGACACAAGTGATTCATTAAAAAACTGCCCGATAGGCATATAAAGAAAGTGAGAACAGGTCAATTTATTTCTCGGGAACGGCTGTTGTAGAATAAGATAGGGTATCTCAGCGGTCACTATTATGTCTTTTGTCAATGGCAATAAAATGCATCAAAATTTATGAATTATCACGCAGCTATATGACGTAGTCCAGGGCATGCAATCCCAACCATTTCCTTGTTTTACTTGGCAGAAGGAAGCAACGCTTCACCACCAACAACTGACAGTTTTTTTTACTCATTCGTAATTGCAATCGCTGACATTGCTAACCTGAACGCCTATCATGTTTATCGTAGTGTAATTCTGGGTCTCATATTGCAAACAACGTGACGAGTAGGTTTGAACCAATTCGACAAACTAGGCATCAAGTACTATAAGTGACGAGTACCCTCAGAGAGAGAGAGAGAGAGAGAGAGGATAATGATAAAAGAAAGACAGGGAGGTTAACCAGGGCTAAGCCCTGTAATCTACTCTGCACTTGGGAAAGGGGGAGAGAGAAGGAAAACCATGCTCGCAAATGAACGTGACCACTTGGCTGATCTACGGCTCACCCCTTTGGCGTCATTCCATAAGTACAGAGCTTGTACATGTGCACCGAGGTTATACATACTTATATCAAGTAAAGCATCGTGTGGATACTAAAAAAAACTTAGGTTTATTCTGATTTGGCAAAAATTTTACTGTACTATCTACTCTATATTTTCATTCTGCTCTCGCTTAAATGTGGCGTGGTGTCGAACTCGGAACCTCGGACCCAGAATTAAGAAATGGCCCAGCAACGAGTCAAATGCATGGTGAGTGGTCCAGCCACGGCTTGGTCACTCTGTCAATCTCGACGGCCTGTGCTAAATTTCACCAACCGGTCATACATTGGCGACAACGTATACTGCCGATACAACACAGCTCGCTCATATTGACAGGCCTCAGCCTTCTTCGTACATCACTGCTGTTCTCTTTTCATCAAGAACAGAAATAGAAAAGGCTGCTTGAGAACCAAAACAACATACTTTTCTGGCATTATCAAACTCTAGCAAGCGTGAAAGCCTTGCAAAAAGGTCTCGCACCCTTAAGTGTACTTTTCGGTGAAGTGTTTGATTATCAGGCTGCCACGTTCAAAATGGTGTCTATATGTACAAAATTCGACGCAGAGGAAATGATACCTGCTCGTATTTCTTTTCCACTAGAGTCCACTATGGAAAGCTTCGAAGTGTTCCAGCACGCGAGAATTGAAAGACTCACCCATGAACAGTACGAGGGCCAAAATGAGCACAACTCCTTTAGATCCCATGACGATGGTCAGGACACTGGACAGGTCACCAGGCAGAATGAGATTGATCACGGCTGACCCTTGCTTAGGTCCTTTTTAAAGGCATCGTCAACAACGACACAACAGCCGAGTGGTGGCGGAGAGGAGAGGGACGTATCGATAAGGCACGTATAGGAATCCCTTCACGTTCGAAAAATCCTGTTTTTGCCGTTCACTGCCTGGTCAAAGACCTCTTGTGCACATCACCCCTACTGATGAACTATCTTGTCTTCGCCGACAGCACTGCCCAGTGAGCAAGGCGGAACAACCGGATCCTGAGGGATGCTCTCTCACTGCACAGGGAAAGCCCCAGTGCATTACGTCACCCGTGGCTCCACGTCGTGCAGAGTTGGGCGCATTGGTTAGGCGAGATGACGACAAGCTGCGAACGTCTGTTACCTTTAGAGGGTGCACGGAAGTTTACGGAGCACATAATGTCACGAGTCAATAAATTTCACGCGAGTTTTCGCAATTTTACGTGCATCGGGTGGATTTGCTGCGCTTCCGAATATTCCGGAAACCATTTAAAAATATCCTAAAGTGCACTGCGGGTGGGCATCTTGGGCGCACCAGAAACGCTATTCACTGCCCGCAACTAATGATGAATCGAAAAAAAAGTGGAAGAGTTGCCTTTGTTTTTATTTTCAATGGAAAGGACAGCGTCTTGCTCGAGCAAGCAAACAAAAAGAGCTGTCCATGTGTCGAGGATCACGTGCTGGTTATTCCGGTAAACAGTGGGAGGCGAACGACAGATAACTTCATTTGCGTTTTCTTTGAGAATATAGAAATAAGAAAATAAAGCAAGCCATAAGAGTCAAACGAAGCTGCGCGCGCACTCAGTACCTGAGTGGGCCTCGGTTTAAAAGCACCTGCAAAACCACATCACGAGTTCTTTCATAAGCAGTGGTGCTTGGTCGATTCTCCTCTCGGATAAACAACCGCGACGATATGTGATCTAACCCTCGTATTCAGAAACGCTGCTAAACTTGAACTTGAACTTGCCAGCGTCTTCAACACAGCACAAACGCATTTCGAACGCGCTGTTGTTAGGTGGGGCTAAGGCAGCACAAACACACAGACGCGTTTTGAAGCGCGCTGCATTGAAGCCGGTTTCAAGTCAAGTTCAAGTCAAGGAGCGTTTATGAATAAGGGGGTACGTCTTCTTTGTCATTTTTTTAGATGCGGAGCATCTTATACTCGCGCCTTGTAGTGCGCCGTCCGCACCGCTTCTCGAACATTCGACAGCTGACGCGCGCGCATGCGCCGTCGCGCCGTCGCCCACTCTTCCACCATCTGTGCATCCCTTCCTCCTCTACACACCGCGCGCGCTTCACTCCTCCACCATCTGTGCACCCTTCCTCCTCTACACACCGCGTTCGACATCTACAATTCTCCTGATTCTCCAGTGGACGCGCATGTGGCGTCGCGCTTCGAGAACATTCAACAGCTGACAGTGCATTCGCCGTCGTGCTGTATATATACTCAAGGTCGGCGCTCGCTCGCTCAGTTGCCGCTCGTCGGTTGGTTTGTACGGCGCGTCGACGTCCAAGGTCGCGGTGAAATGAATTCCAACGAATCCACAAACACAATGATCGACGTCCCTTCGACCAGCGCCGCCCTTTCGCATACGTGTGTACGTGTTCACTCATTTAACACCCCCTCCTACAACCACGTTAACCAATTTAGCCATCGACCCAAGTAAGTCGCAATTTAACACCCCATTTCACAACCACGTTAACCAATTTAGCCATCGACCCAAGTAAGTCGCACTTTAACACCCCGTTAACCAATTATATGGTCCGCATCCTCCTCAGTGTTCCCCCGAGGGAAGCTGCGGGCAATTTTTTTCCTGTCTTAATACATTGTCCAAGAAGGTGCCAAATCCAATGCTTGTATTTTTTTTATTAAGACTCTGTTCAGCTTGCTTAGGAAGCCAACTCGTTTCTAATGTTGCATACGAGGACGCAAATATATACTTTAAAGTCCTATTAATTCTAGTAATCATGATAGAAGTGTAAAGAAAGTAATGCGCAAAAAAATAACTTGGTGGGTATATAAATATATACGCCGTAAAATGTGCGCATTGATGACCGCTGCTCTATCAGTTGAAGAAGGGACGCGCTATTCGAAGGTCGCTGGTTAAGTACCGGCCAGCAACAAGTTATTTTCAAAGTTAGCTTTTGTTTCTTCACATTTACAGCATAATTAGCAGAATATATATAATTATTATGCTCTAGACCATCTTTGGCTTTCTTGCTTGTTAGCTTCTAAGTATATATAGTGCGCCCAGCTGAGAAAAATTAGTGCTTTATACTCCCCTTCTTCCATTTCCTAATTTAAAAGATCATGCATTCAAAGACCGCAGGCTCGCATAAGCACGTCCACGGGGTACAGGCAACAAGTGCTCATGAACGTTATATGATGTTTTCATGCATCTTTTATAACCAATTTCTCGTTTTTTTTTTCTTTTTGTGACCAAGATAACAAAAGCGTGATCATAAACAGAAAGTCAAGTGGTGAAGGGTTGAGCGTAGTGTAGCGAGAGTCGAGACGTGTGATGACGTCATGCAGACGACGTCGCCAGTCTTGTCGCTGAAGCAGAGTTGTGGTGGCTGCCAGCGTCCGATTGGTCAGGCGCGTCAACTCATTCTGTCGCTCGAGCCTCGGGCTCCGCATCATCTGCGCGAAAAGCACGGCAAAAGGTGCCTATGTATTTAGGGACCTTATCGCGGCATGGTGGCTAATAAATAATGATATTGATGAATGGCGATGGTAAAGACGTCACAGTAGTAACACCATTGTTTCATCGAGATTAACCTCGCAATAGCTTGCTAAAGAGCTGATAGTCAGTGTAATTCCCTTCGTTTTGCGTGTTTACTGAGATAAGCTACCATGGGATCATGGTGCGGTGTTATATAAGGATATTAACAAGATTATTACAGGGAAACACCCAGAGCGCAGTTTTCTAAGCCTTTTATAATGCGCGTTTTCTTATTTTTGAAAAACAGAAAAACGAAACTATATTCCAGTAACAGCCAAGAACTTAGTGTAGTTATAAGGCGTAAAGTGGCACATAAGGCACCACCCACCATTTATATAGGGATTGAACCATATCTTAAGATGATCGACGCTGTATTTGACAGTTGCAGAGCAGGCTCAAGAAACAAAATACTTCTAAATGACAAACATTCTTTATTCGACCACGCATTCGTACGGAAAGTGACAAAGCACAGAGTCCCCAACTGTTGCGCTAATCGGGTACAGTGGCCGTGCCAACAACGGTTTATGAGTAATATTCCTTGATAGCTTCAAAGCAGCATGTACAATTATTCATAGATGGCGTGAAATTAGCTACAGCGAGTTTCAGCTTATCATAAATAAAACTTTCAAGCATATACTTTGGATGTGTTAGTAATCTTATGTGCGATAACTTTTTAAGGGATAACTTCTGCTTCGTTCGACATTCATCACTCTCTTTCGTGATATTTGACAAAGCGATACTATGCAGCCACAATGGGCACTAAGAAGCCAAGTGCACTAATGCATAACCACACTTGCCGTTCCTGGTGAATCGTTTAATCGCGAATCGCGTCGCATTTAATAAAACTGGTGACATTACCAGTGGCCACATTTAGGAAATATCTAAGCCATAATGAGCTATTGACCTTATTCGGTAATTAAGACGCAAATTACTGTGATTTGATTCACTACCGCAAGAGTTGTCTCTAGCCATGTTAAGATCTCGGCCGCCACAGAGAAAACGGTGACTGTGAAGGCAGTGGAATAGATCGGCGATATCGCTTATTTAGAGGATATGTAGAACCCTTTGTTTTGTCAGCTTGAATACACAGAAATACTTACGTACATCCCTACCATCTTCAAGCGTCCTTTCCCATTTCTGTTAAATCATTGAGCATGTGAAGTTACTCCCAAAGGCACCTCCACCAGCACTACAACACAGACTTTAAGGGTCGTGAACCTTGTTTCCAGAGAAATAGAACACTTTGTGTCTATAGATTGATTCGGATAACCCCTATTTTGGCGAGACTACTTTTTCCTTTGCAGCACCATCACAAATTAGCACATTCGATATCACAGCCTTTGCGCCACTTTTTACAGCGTCACATGTTATGAATCGCAGTCACAGCCAATTTCGGTGCCCCCGTGACCACCGGTAATCGTCCCAGCTTTCGAGAAAAAATCACAAGAAAAAAAATGGTTGGGGTTTCAGTTGTATTCAAACCTGGGTATCTTTTATGAAAGTCGTACGTCTTACCCGACAGCCATGCCAGTACTAACCGCTTCGTAAAATTTGCTGACAGCCATCATGTTGGGCAAGGAACCGTGTTAGCAGTTATGCATATATATTTCTTGGTGAAAATGTAGAGTAAGACCATAGATGGGCAAAAGTTAGCGACACGAGCTAACACAGAGTACACTAGTAACCTGTGATTCGCCGATGAGATTGCATTGATCAGTAACTCAGGGGATGAACTTCAAATCATGATTACCAAAGATGGACAATGAGAACAGACGGTATGTAAGAAATTATAATGCGGCAAACCAATGCAATAGTCAACAATATCGGAAGAGAACAGCGCTAATAGGTAGCGTGGTACGAGAAGTTGGAAAGAAACTATAGTGCATATATATTTAGGATAGGTATTGACCACGGAACCGAACCGTGAAACCAAAGTAACTAGAACGATAAGAACGGGGGGGGGGGGGGGGGGGAATGAGGGGGAGCGCATTTAGTAGGTACTGCAAAATCATGAATGGTAGTTTATGACTATCTCTTAAACGAATTGCGTACTGCAGCTGCATCTTACTGGTATACTTACCTTCAGAACAGAAACCGGGAGGCTTACACAGAGGGTTGAACTGACATTGAGAACAACGCAGCAAACCATGCAAAGGAAAAGGATAGGTGTAACGTTAAGGAACAAAAAGAAAGCAGAGTGTTCCATGGAACAAATGTGTGCTAAGGACATCTCAGTCGAAATCAAGAAGAAATACGGGAATAGGCAAGGCATACAGCGTGTGAGCAAAGTAACCGCTGGTCATTAAGATTAATGAACTGGATTCCAAGACAACTCAGGCCCGCGAGCGAAAAGTAGAAAGGTATTTAGGAAGGTGTCATTTGTCTCCGTATTCACAAACCAAGTTGTCTTTATATTGCAATTTCTTTATGATGTTTCTGCCA